CTTGGTGACTAGCCACAACATCCTGACTGCAAGCCCCTCAACAGCAAGCTCTCTCCAGGGATGTCTATCACCCGTGTGAATTTGACATGACTTCTATCAAAGCTGCAGGGCATCTTCCCACTGACTTCAGGGAATCAAGCCCTGTATGTTGAATAAGCTTCCCCACAGGAGAAAGTTTTTCATGTCTGTAATTCATTTAAATGACTAGAACAGGGGAAGGGACCTACCACAGGAAAAGTTGAAAGCAAAGCCAGGATCATGCAGTGCAATGAGGAAAGCAATCCTGCAAGACATCTTTGTGATGAAGAAAGAGATTGAGAGGATAGTTACTTGTTAAAGGAGATCAGCTCCTGTCACACCTCTCACCTCACACCCAAAACCTCTGAAAACACACACCACCCACCCCCTGCCACAGCCAGCAGTCTCTGTGATAGGACATTGTGGGTATCTTTCTGACTTTTATCTTCTGCTTCTGCTCTAGTTAACATCTCAACCCATATCAGGGATTCACCACATCTTGCAGACATCTCAGGAGCTGTTTGTTTCTCTTCATTTTCTTTCAGTGTCCACATAACACTTTAGATATATCACAGCATTGCTTTTCGTAGGCTTTCAAGTCACTCTTTTTAGATGCCTGCTAGGTGAAACATAAATTTATGGCTGTGAATACCACCACTTTTTGCACTTTTATCTGGCTTAATTCACAATGCAAATACAAAACTTCAAAGTTGAGCAGAAATCCTTTTGCTTTGTGATAGCCCAATTCCTTTCCACATTTCTTTTCAAGCATGCAATGACAGGATTAGCTGAGGATTAATTACTTGAAACTCAACCTGCATCTCAGGTCATAATTTTCTCATATTTCCAGCCTTTAATATTCTTGTATCAACCAAATATTTGTCATACAGACCAATACTTGCAATAGGTAAGATATTCTTCTTTCCACACAGACAACCTAGTTGAGGTCTCAAAAACCAAATAAAAATTCTGCTTACTGTGCAAACTCCAATCCTCCCAGCCCAGGTCACAATGGAAATGGTTCCCAAATGGAAACCTGACTGCTTTCCAAAAATGTGACCTTTAAAGGCACAAAAAAGATAATTCAAAAAAGCAGTTTCTCTGCTTCTTGTATGGACTCTTATAGGCACCTGCTCTTCTGATAAAATATCACTGGAGCATAACCTGAACAGCCAATGTGATTTGATTTTTATACTAGATTTTTTTTTGTAAGAATGGTTATGGCCTGTTTTATGACATATCTGTGCCCAAATACTGACTCAGAACTGACTGTAAGGTTTGGTGAGCAGCATAGGAGGACTAGTCTAGTCTGGACACTTCCTAGAAGTCTGTCATTTGAAGAGAGTCTTTTTCAACATAAAGGGTTGTTGAAATAATCATAGCATGTAAGAAGATCATTCCTTGATTAAGAGCTCTCTTGCCACTGTTGTCCTAGTGGAAACACATTATCACCTTGGCAAGTAAAAATGCTGCAAAGTAAAGCTTTTACAAATTCACTTTGATTTACATCCTAAAAGCTAGGAATAAAAATGCCACCAGTCATTTTTTTTTAATTACTTGTGACATCCAATCGACAGGAAATGTTCATGAGCTAGGTGTAACTGTAGACTCTTTATTTATTCCTTTGTTTTGTTTATAGCTCTCTTCTTGTACAGTTTGTTCCTGTAGTAGCAGCAAAAGAAAACAAAACAAAAAAACCTCCTCTGCTATTAAATCTCACTTTCTGCAAAAAATAATCTTGGGTCAAGTAAGACCTGTCAGTATCCCTATGAAAATATGCTCCTGATTCTCTGCAAACAGACTATGCTATCTACAGCAAACTGATGGCCAAAAAAGACTATTATTGTAATTCTATACAGAACCTAGTCTGATGCACATGTCATAAAAGGAACAAAACTAATTGCATCACCTGCAAGGCACATCTTATTTGCTGCTCTGAGAATTAAAAGAGTCAAGAGCAAGAGAGAAGAGCAAAAAAGAAAGGCAAACTGAGTTGAATGCAGAAAAATAAATTATACAGTAAAGACATCAAGAGAAAAAGTATTAAAAGCAAATGTTCAAGCATGTTCAAACAAAACACAGGTACTATGTTAGACACTGTATAAAACCAAGCTATGCCAAATACCCAGTGCCCCACTTGTGAGCTTAGCATTAAAATGAAAACCAGCAAGGAAGGTGCATGCTTCTTCAGGGAAATGCTTTTGAATTAAAAAAAAAACAAACAGAGGTGTTGAGGCAAGAATAATCAGGACAAAAGCTTTCAAGAGAGAGACTTTTGGTTGTGTGAGGGACTCGGATTATCGGTAGCATGTGCATTTTTGGACTTTCACACAACACAGAAGAAGCCCTTCACGTCAAAGTTTTATTGAACGTGAAAGACACACCTGAAAAATCTTTTTATGTCTGTACAAATATAGAAGTTTAAAACTGATAATATACAGGTAACACTGAAATGCTCAAAGCTATATACCTTTTCCTCAACCTAGCTCAGACCACCTACACCAACAAATTCCCTACAAATGGACAGAGAAGAGCCAGTTGCTGCTTTTCAGCTCGAACAACTGCCTTGGGTTTTTTTCACAGCCGTGTTATACTGACCAGCTTGCCTGTTGCGACTGCCTACAGAGCACATGCCCAACACATGCAGTTTGGAAGATCACCAGAACTCTCTCCTATCCCATTCACATCAGCCTGTTAGCACTTTCTCTACCCAGGTCAGGGAGCAGCCATCAAGCCCAGACAATAAAGTTCCCCTTTTCTCTTTACAATAAGATTAGTGAATAGATTTTTTTCTTAAGTCCTTTTACAAAATGGAGCTATCTAACAAGTCACTGCCTGTGCAATAGGTGAGGACAGGAACTCTGCGTTGCACTAAAACACTGCAGCTGTCTCCACAAGAAAACAACTCGCCCACCCAGGAGATAAACCCAACAAACTACTGTATCTGCCACAGAGCTGCCAAATGCCTCACATGCCACCAGCACCTGACAGTCACCACAAAAACACAGGGCTCATTCCACCTGAATGCATCCTAGCACTTGCTTTGGCACCACCTCCCTGGCCTAAATTTCCTCCATCTTCCTGTCTTACCCTTCCCTCTCCCCTCCAGTAAGCCTCATCGACACTGTTGCCACAGGGGAGCTGCTGTGAACTCCCAGTTTAGAAACAGAACACTAACGTTACCTGAAAGCAGATACCCCAAGGCCAGTCAAAGTGTGCTATGTGGTGGTCCTCCAGCAACAAGTCTCTCTCAGCACTGCTCTGATGATGATTAGAAAAGAGCTCGGTACTATCACTGCCAGAGCACACCAATGGGAATCTGATTACTGCCACTGCCACAGTATCACCAAAAATTTTGTATCTGTGGCGAGGATCCAGCCCTGCTACAGCTGCAGCTGCCTGCCTTCCCTGCTGGGATTGCAGCACCGGCTTTCTGAAAGAACAGTGTCTCATTCCAGGCCCGGTGGTCGTAGGGGAGACAAGTTTTACCAGTACAATTCATGGCCGAGTGCATTTTCCTGTCTTCATTAAGGGTTTACACCAGTGCTGCTACCTTGGAAGTCTGCCATCAATAAGCAGGTCAAACCTCTTAGTCTGGGAAAAGCCTCTCCATTGTTTTCTGTCTCATGAACAGTTCTTCGGTAACTATATATTTTTTTTGGAGACCAGGGTGTTAGAAAACAATTGATATGAATAAAGAGGTCTCCTTCACCATTGAAAGTAAACTGTATGCTTAGTAAGATGAAATAATTTGGTCTCTGTGGACCAGAAAACAATAGCGTCACTGTTGACTGATACCTTGCAAGTTATGTCCTCACGTCACCCAAAGCAAACTGTAACAGGGACTGCTCCACAGCTCAGATTCCCTTTAAACCTCTTAGCTAACCTCTTACCTCTTCAGGTTTCCCTCTTTAGCACAGACATGAATCAGTTGCTCCAGGAAACCTCAATTTCTTTTTAAAAGAAGCTAACTTTTATGAGGCTATACTCAAATCCCCTAAGTTTCTTACAAATATCCTTTATTATTATTCTGCACACCAGGAGTTGAGATGTATAATGAAGTAAATAATATCAAAAACTGTGACTGACTTAAAAGGGAGCAACAGCAAGCAGACCTTTGTCTTCTCTCTCTCTCTGAGCAGGATGAGAATCTACTAATTACTTTATTACAGTGTGGGTGGAAAAAAGAGTGAACTTCAAATCAACACAGCATTCAACATAGTATTTCTTTTATAGCAAAGAATGAAAAATAACCCCAGACCTAGAATAAATCTCCCTACCCAATTCCTCCTTTTGTTTATACCAGGTTTGAGATTACTTACACAGTGGCACAACAGTACAGATTCCATACACATCTCCACACCTTAGGGCATGTGCCCACCTTTAGTTGTCTACCTCTGAGAAACATTTCCTAGAGGCAAGCTACTACATAATGCTCAGGAAGAGCAGTTTCTCGTATCCTCCTTCTTTGATCTGTCAAATAAAAGCCACCGCAAGAAAACAAAGAAAGCTAGAGAGATTATTTTATTTTCCTGACACAATTCTATACTTATTTGCTCTCATTTTCAGAGATCTTTTCATTATTACTGACACAGACTAACAGCCACCAGAAGCAGCCAAACAAACCACGAGGCACAATGAAATATTCAACACACATGTTCACCTTCAAGATAAGACAATAATGACAGAACAACTGAAACTTGAGTCTCTTCCCAGGTATACTAAATTATGCCACTGAAGTCAAATGGGTATTAGCAGTTTAATCTACCCTTTGATACTCAAGAGCACAGAAAATATTCCATTACTGAAAAACCTACCACCATCACTATACACCAGCAACATCTAGGGATTTGCAAAATAATGAAGAACACAATTCAGACGTCAGAGAAAGGACAAGAAAGGAAGATTCCTCCATGGAGAGGCCCTTCCATGAGGAACATCCCCAGGGACTAAAATCTACTGTGAGCACAAAGCACTCTTACCTGCATGAGTGAGCATGTGCCGCTGCAGGGAATTTGCCCATGGAAATACTTGAGGACAATAAGGACAGGGGATATTTTGCCGGCAGTCTGAGTGAGCGTTCCTCTTCCCTCTCAGAAGCTTATCCTCAGCAGTTTCCTTCTCATCCTCACTTGCTCCATTTCTGCCGCTTTCTTCCTTGAAATTGTCAGTGGACTGCAGAAAGGGGCTAAATTTGTTAGTGTCTGTGGTAGCCAGCATCTTCTCTATGCTGGCAAACTCCCCACTTGACTCCAGATCCACACTACTGCTAAGTTTAGGCTTATTTTTAGTTCCTTTCTTTCTACCTCTTTTCTTAGTCAAGCCAGTATCAGCAACGGGAGACTGCTCTGGATGACATGCCTGAGACAGGTCACTGGGCAGGCTGGAGTCTCTCAGAACAGTGCTCAAGATTGTCACTTTTGCTTTGGCGTTCCCTGATTTGTCACACCCAGTGGAGCCGCTCACCACCTTGGAACTGGCGTCTGCAGCCTCCGTTTTTAGCAAAGCGGGAGCAGAAGACACAGATGAAATGATCTGTGCAATGGAAGCCAACGGCGGCAGCTCTTTAGTGACTGAAGGCTTTGGCAAGAGAGGTGGCGGTGGTGGTTTAGGCCTCAAGGGTCTCAACAAGGCAGAATTGCCAGAGAGAGCCGGGGAAATGATTGGGACAGTCAAATGCAATGAACCTTGCAGTGGCTGGGGATGCCTGACACCCCGGGTTATCTCTGAGTTCCCATTGGCACCAAAAACCAAAGGACACTGCAGACAGTTATAGGCTTTATCACTGTTCCCGGAAGTAGCCAACTCTTGATTCCTGCCTTCGTATGGGACATCATCTTTGTCCTTCTTCAGAATTTTGGGTATGGACAGGTCAATAGGCTCCATGGAACAGTCATAAAAGGACAGGGGAGAAGAACCAAACAGGTTCTCCTGCTTCACTTGCACAGCACTCAGGCTTCTGCTCTTCTGAGAGAAATCCAGCGGCTCATCAAAATCCACTGGGAAGTTGCCCACAGGTTCACGTTTGATGGAAACATGAGACGACGTGCCAAGCAAGAAGCCATTCTGTGGCTCCAGGAAAGGTGTCATGGGCTTGTGGTCCATATAAGTGCTGTCCTCCATTAAAGAAGGGTCTGTCTGGCTTTCCTGGGCACTGCAGTCCACTGTTAAGATGTAGTTCTCAATATCCCTTTCTTGCACGTGCAAGTGCTGCTTGAGGATATGGTGAATGCAATTTCTCTTAGCTGAAAAGGCTGTGCCACACTCCTTGCACTCAAACGGCTTCTTCTTCTGGCAGCCGCTGTGCGTCCTCATGTGAATGCGGAGGGCCCGGTAATGCTTCAGGTCCTCACCACACAGCTTGCACACAGTGTGTGGAGAGCAGAAGGCATCCACCATCTCTGCAGCATTGCTGGTGACATATTCAATGTTCTTCTCTATATCCTTCCTGGTCACTTTGAGGTGCTTCTTTCGCAGATGCCTCTCACAATTGGCTTTCACTGTGAACGGGTAGTGGCAGAGTTTGCATATGTAAGGCCTCTCCCCGCTGTGCGTCCGCAGGTGCCGGATCAGTGCTGCCTTGTCAGCTGCGATGTAGTCACAGATGTTGCACTGGTATGGGGAAATACCTAAGTGAGAACGGATGTGAGCTCTCAGGACACCAGCGAAGGCAAACACCTGGTCACAGAAACGGCAGGGGTACAAAACTTTCCTCATGGTTGGGGTCTTCTTGTTCGCTGCCCCTGCAATGATGGCTTTGAGGTCTCCTTCTGTGACCTCTTGCTTGATCTTGGCTTCCATACTCAGAGGCAGGAGAGCTTCAATGATGCTGTCCTGCTCCAGCTGTGTCTTCATCTCATGCTGACTTAAAGGCTCTACTTTGGGTTGGAGGAGCAACTGCGAGGAAGGACTTGATTTGGCTCCTGGCTGGGGGAGATGAGAGTTGGAGGAGGACTCCACCGAGTTCTTGATCAGCCTCAGAGGGGGAGGTGGGAGGCTTGGGCTGATGCAGCCAGGGGAGGCTTGCTGGGCACTGATAAGAGGAGGAGGCGTAGAGGTTGCGACAACTGTTCGGGGCGTTACCAAAGGCTTTGGCTTCAGTGGCGGCATATGCTTGAAAATGGACTGCACAGGGACAGAAGGTGCCTTAGAAAGTGGAGGAAGACTGATCTGAGGAGGAGCGGAAGAAGCCATCTTCAAGATCTGTTGAATGTCTGCCAGCTCAATGGCAGACTCATTGGAGATGGGTTTCACCACAATACTGCTGTCAGGCTGGATAATAAAACCCCTCTGGAAAGGCTGCAGTGAGAGAAGCTTTATATTTTCTTTTGTAGGGGGAAGGACTGAAAATGACCCTCCCATGGAGGCAGCTTCCAGAGGAGAGAGGCTGAGCAGACTGGTGCTGCCGGGTTCCTGAGGTAGGTTACTCTTCAGTGCTCTGAGCCGCATTTCTTGGACCTCATCTTGTGTATTGTCCTCCTGCTTGACAGGCTTGATGTCTTTGGTGTACTGTAGGCCCAAGGATGCCATGAAGGCTTTCTGGTCTGGGTTCTCACCAGGTAGGGTCATGGACTGTGGCTTGTGCTTGTCTTTTCCCTGATCCACCATGTGAGTTTCTGTGTGCAGTTTAAGTGCCGAAAGCATGGGGAATGCCTTGTTACACATCTCGCAAATAAATCGATGGAAGTCACTGATGCACCTTCGCAAATTTGTTTCACACCAGACCTGCAAGACATACAAAAACATTTAGAGTAGACATCTCAGACTGGAAATGCATCACGTGCTGCTGCAAAACAAAAACAGTTCACTCTCTCTCTACCACTGCTTAATTTAAGGGATTTAAAGCAGCCACCACCTACCTGGCATAGAGATACTACTGCTCCACAGCCTTCAGTGCCCCAAGGAGTGTATCTGAATTAGGAGCTGATTCTTCAGAAGTTCCCCTCTACAGAGGCAAACTCCTTCAGAAAGCTATTCAGACTCTCAGATACATTTCCATTCTGAACTTCCCTACCAGAAACCGCTCTCCTGTGACTGACAAGACAGAAGCTTCCTCCTCTAGCTCTACAACTACAAAGAAACTAGGAGTAGAGGAGGCAAAAAGGAGGTATCCAAGAAGGCAAACCAATACAAATCAACCAAAATAATATCCCCCAAAAGGAGATGAATGAAACTCAGAGCCTAAACCAGAAAGGCTTTTGGTTAGGGAAGTCTTATTACATTTATTCTCCCAAGAAAAATACTAAGCTCACATATGGATGTTATACTTGTCCCTGAAAACAATCATAAATCCAAACGCTGTATTTAAACGCTACCCAGATAGCTCACATGTTGCAAAGGTCCCACATCAAAGAAGAGCACAAGTGTGAAATTAAGTAGAGGGCTGGCAAGATCTTTATATATTCTACATGCTTTGTTCAGTTGCTTCCTAAGTCTTACAGTCTCACAGTGCAAGCAAAATTATTACAAACAGAAAATACCAACATTTAAATCCCTTAATAACTTTAAATGTCTGCCATTAATTACAGAAGAAATAACCCCAAGTTGTATAAAGAGTGTTTTCTTCTGATTTTGCAACTTTTACACCAAAACTGTAATAGACTTACAGAATGACCTACATGTTCTCCTGGGCCAGCAGCAAATTTCAGGTCTACCACCTTGCAGGCAGAAGAGCTGGAAATCAATGCTTTAGTCCCAATAGAATGAGGAAAGTGCAGAAACTGACTAAGCAGGGTCCTGCTGGATTGTGTGTTTTATTTTTATTTGCTTTTTAAACAGATACACAGCTTCATCCAGACCCAAACTAATTAAGGCAGGCAAGGTTTGACAGAGGGAGGAGTAATACCATCCAATAGGAAGCTTTACATGCACTCAGAAAAATATTTACAGACTACCTCCCTGCCTTTCCCCAGACACTGTCCCTCAAAGCTGCAAAATCCTCAGAATTTACATAAGGAACATAGTGGAAAGATGTTTTGTGAAGAAATCACTGAAGATGCCACTGTTTAGTAAGGTGACTGCCTGAAGTTTTTTGTAATAAAAACTTTCACACCATAGCTACATCCTTGTTAGAGTAAATTAAAATAAATAATGCCTTCCTTACCATGTGTCCTCCCTACTGATTTCAGATGCAAGATGGTTCTGGGAAAGAGAGAACTAATGGGCAGGCTGGAAGGGACAAGGATCCAATATGACCCAAGTTTTCCTTTGAACTGTTTTTATAAATCTTTACACTGATAGTTATCCACTGGAATGCTGAAACAAAATAATGCCAATAAACTTTGGCTGAAAAAAAAAAAAAAGGAAAGGCAGAAAGTGTTTCAAGCCTACACAAACACTGGTAATGTGCTTTCAACAAAATATTCTACACGCAGTCTCAGCCTCAAGGATGCCTCTTTCAATGATGTCATAAGCTACAGCAGCTGGTACCTTAAGCTACGAAGAACAGAGAGTACCTGAGAAATGCGGGGGAACTTCCTACAGGAGAAGTCCGTGAATCCCAAGTCATGGAAGCCTGCTGGAATCGAAGGGTTGTTCTGAATGAAAGGCTTTCCCATGGGATCTCTGGGAAGCTGCTTGTGGATAACTGCATTATGGCGCAGTAAGCCCCGATGAGTACGAAAGGTAATACAACAGATGTCACACCTGGAAAGGAAAGGAATAAAACATATATGACTGAGTGCTGCAAGCTTAAGGACTGGCATTCTTCTTGCATTAAGACATACTCCTTCCTCTTGCCCCATGATACCAAGAACCTGCTAAATGCAAAACAAAGCCACAGCACATCAAAAACCTATCACCACAAAAAGGCCATTGCAGTCACAGTCACTTTCTACCAGTTTCTGGCTAGTAACTTCACTGGAAGTTTAAAGACTACAGCACATGACAACTGACAATCCCAAACCAGTAGACAGTTAAGCGGCCGCTGAGACCAGAGCCTTCTGACAACCTTCCCACTGTCCAACCAGAAATATTTCAATGGCTTTACACCATTTCTTTTTTCCTAAAAAGTACTATTAAGATAAACAACATTTTCAAAAAATCAGTGACAAGGAGAGGCTAAATCTGACCTGAACAGCAAAAGCTGCAAATGCATAAACAGCACCTTTTGTAACCACTGCTTAAGACATACTACTGCACATCACTCAAATACCCGTGTGTGAATCTTCCTCACACTGCCTTTCCATAAACTTTCACTGATTTTTTTTCAAAGCTGTTATGAGAACTATACTCTTCTAAAAGGAAAACCAGAACTCATCAAAGGAGAGAAAAGTCAGAGGAGGAAGACCTGAAACGGGTTCAACACTTCTGACACACTTACACCCCCTTCACAGCCAGTAGGCCCTGAAGAAAAATGCAGAAGCCATGTCTTTTCCCACCCACACTTTATTGCTGTGATTTCTTGTTTTTCTTAAGTTCTCAATTCCCAAATTCAGCTAAACAAAGGTTTCTCACATAAAACATTGCATTAAACAATCAAAACTATGCTGCAGGCAGTAAGGGCTATGCAACAACATTTGGTCAACATGTCAACAAACAAGCCTATTGCTTTTTAACTATCTGGAATTTGAGCTCTGCAGTGTGACAGGTCACGTCTGCTCTGCATTCAACAAGTGACACACAGTTTCACTCAACATAGTTCCTTGTGGTTACAGGTCCAGCTCCCAACCAAAGCACGGGCTTCCCAGAAGCAAACACCAGTGAATGTGAAACAGTCAGATTTTGTCAGTGAGAGTATTAGACGCACTAGGATTTTTTCAGACCTCCTGCTGCTTCAGTTGTCCCCGTACCGCCTTTGCTGTCTACATCAAGGAAAAGGACATATGCCTACTCATTAAAAAAACATCCTGCAATTAGAAATTATTTCTGACAAAATCCTGAAACCATCCCCTCCCTGTCCTGCCCCTAACAAACTCCTATTGTTGTTCTTTTTATCACTACATAAATACCCACAGACATATTTTTATTCCCTGAAAATGAAGAGATAACCAACTCATAAAGCAACTGGACTCATAGTCTCTGAGTGGTGAAAGAAGCAAGTGTGAAGTGTATGTAACACGGCCTTTGTTATCACAGTACCCAGAAAGCTTGGACATAAATATTATGCGCTGAAGGTTTAATCTGTTTTAACTCTCCTGTCAATTCACTTGCATCCTAGCTTTATAATTATTGTCAGCATAGTTCCTGCATTCCATTAAATACCAAACCAATGCCATTTACAGAGCTAATGTTTACTTAAAGAGGTATTGTAAATGTGACAACAATCTCTGGTGGTGGTGGGGAAATACCAACACAGTTCTCCAACATCAGGATCTACGGCTCTCCTCCAGCCCACTTGGCAGCACCTACTCTGTGACGTAAAGCTTTCATCTTCAGTGAAAACAAAAACACAACCACCAAATGAATTCTTTTTTAGAGGCGATGACAATGTGCTGTGTGAAAGCAAGCAGTGCTTTTGGCATGCTCCTCCTGGTACACTGGCATACAAACACGGAGGGCTTGCAAGCAATGTTCCTGCACCATCGGGAGCATCACCACCCGCTCTGCAGAGGGACACAGACCCTCACCTTGGGGCGTGTTGAGGCATCTTCAGGGTTCCCAACACGCCTGGCCTCCCCCAGACCAGTAACCCAGTGTAGCAGCTCTGTGTGATGGGGCAGACACAGCGACCGTTGACAGCACCACAGAGATCCTGGGAGAGCTGGCTCCTGCCACTATACCCCCAAGATTTGAGCTGAGCAGGAGCCAGTGCTCCTTGGCAAGCAGACAGATCTCCCTGCCTCATCCATCTTACACTCCCTCATCTCCATTGGCTGAGCAACATGCTGATTTTAAGTACTAGTTTATTTAGGGCTCCCATCAAAAGCTGCACTTGAGAGTTAATCATTCAGAGCAGACACCCGTGTGAAAGTCCTTCACAGTACACCTGTATCAACTGCTGTGCCTCAGGACAGTAAAAATTTGCAATTTAAAAATGGTGTTTTCCATGCAAAGGGAACTGCCTCCCCTCCCACTAAACAAAAGCAATAGATCTTGAAAAAGGAATACATTCTCTCTCCTATAAAGCATAGAATTAAAAACCTCTCTGTATTTTTCTCTTTCCTCCTTAGTCTTCTTTTATTTTCCTTGCTGTGAGTGAAGAAGCAGCAAGCAAAAAGAGAAGTTGGGAAAAGGATTAACCTCTTTTTCTATTCAGTCAAAAAGAGGCACCTGGCTGAAAAAGAAACATCCAGATAAATCACACCTGTCATCTCAAGACTCAAGCTCTCCAGGGCATATAAATGCACAGCACCCTGGCTAAGCACCTTGCCCTGGTGTCACAGTTTACAGAATCACATGGGAGCTGGTGCACGGGAGGGATCTGTGGAAGCCCTGCCTTTCTCTGCGGTCCAGGCACACCTGCACAGGCACCCACAGCTCAGAGAGCTGGAATTAGAACAGCCCAAGAAGAGCCCTCCCTGAGATATGTGTGGAGCAGCCCCTCCAGGCAGCCTCCCCAGGTGACCTGGCAGGCTCCAGTCACCACCCCAGCACCCTGTGCCCACACCACTTGCCAAGGACAAGGGAGGTCACTGTAAAGCTGCTCCTGATGCTGAGGGGTGTCACTGAGCCAGCACCTCAGGAGATCTCAGGCTCTGCAGACCTCACTTGGGCTTGTCAGTCTTCCCTGCAGGGGCAAGCTATTTAAAATACACAGCTTGTGTGCCCAAGCGTCTGCACAACGTTTTTTCCATGCACGTGTGTGTTTTTGCCGAGTTCACTCCCCTCAACTCAGTTAGGAAGAGAGTCTGAATTTCTCACAAATGACATGACTTGAGCTTTGAACACAATCAGTAGTGCAGATGTACCACCTCCAAGACAATCTTGCAGGTACTAAGCGTCAAAACCTAACTAGTTAAGGCAAGCATCCTGCTGCATTGACTAAGGCTTGTGTTAATTTAAAATGGAGTAAGCATTAACTGGAAGCATTAGGGTTTTTCTAAGGAAGCCTAATAATTAATTTCTCTGTTTTGTCATCAGTACTATTTTCCATCTTTAGGTAGTGTCACCTCCTATAGTATTTTTAAATCCAGATCCACAATCTAGGAAGGACAAGAGAAAGGAATCCTAGGTGATATGAACACTTTTTTCATCTTACTCAACCTGCTTTAAAGAAAAAAATAAATAATTGTGGAAAGTCTGAAAAGTCCAGAATATCAAAGAAAGCATCTGAAACATATGGTAATACTTTGCTCATGATGAACTTTAAAAAACCAAACCAAAACACCAAAAAAACTTCCCTCCCCTTGAAACTTCACAAGTCTGCTCACGTGCAGTGCCAAGTCAAACATGGATGGCATGGCTGCAGAGAACAGTGATGGGAACTGGTTCTGAGGTTGTGAGCAGAACAGGCAGAGCAATGGCTGAGCACCTGTGCACAGATAAAAGCACTCTACTTGCAAGGTAAGTTCCCAGATGCATCTAATAAAAGCTGCTGTGTTATCATGTGATTGCTAGTCTTGGCCACACTCCTCCATTTTTCTATAAATATGATTACAAAGTAGGGGAAAAAAAAAGCTGTTCAGTTCCAAGTACAGAGATTCATTTTTAAGTAAAAAGGGAAGCACTGCTTTTAGCAGCTCAGGCTGCTTTAAAATGAGCTTAATTCTCAATTGTCTTTATGTTTTGGAGTCATTCACACCTGTGCAAGGTGAATGTAATACCAGGGCTCTGGCTCAGCAGCAGAGGCATACACAACAAGCTGATAAGAAAACAGAACGGCTAAAACACAAGAGCAGAACCAAAATATAATAGAGCAATGGCCAGGCTGCCCTTGGTGCTCTGGCCACCTATCACACCAGGCAAGTCTGTTCAATTATTACTACACCAGTGCACCTTTTTTTCTTTTTAAAATGCAGACAGGGTCCCTGTGTAAAAACACACCATTAAAAAGCTTTCTACTCAAATAAGTTAGTATTCTTGAACTCTGTAATGCTAATTAGGATATAAAAGCATTTTAACAGGCTTTAAGAAGTAGTCAGTGCTTTGTGCAGCTTGTTCAAGAGGCAAGCCAGGATTTGTTACACTTTTGACAAGCAGCACCTATGCAAGAAAAGTTTACCTAAGAAGTACCTGTTGCCTTGCATTGCACTCTCCTCTGAAACAATTCCAATTTGTCAGCACAAAAAAATAGCTATTTTTGTGCAAGAAATGGAAAGACATTTTAGAAAGGAAATGCAGAGCCAAATTTTAAGCAAAATTAATCAGTCTTGATTAAGAGTAATGTAGTGAAACATTCAATCTTTCTAAATTTTGTCTTTCAGTAGTCAAGATGCAAATACCAGGTATATTATATTATATCCATCATTATTATACCAAGAAATTAACCAAACGCTATGCTCTGCATTATGTGAGACTGGTGGTGGGAAAAGGAAAGTGACATTTACCATTCTTCTCCTTATACTTCTGAAACTACACTATACTCATCTAAAATAAAAAACTCGGGACCACTTTGTTCCTTTCCTGTCTTTGCTCTTCAGCAACTTCCATAAACAGAAGCAAGGAAAACAAAACAAGAATGAACCACATCCTGAGACAGAAGTCATTAATATATAATTAAGTTATGAAGTTGTCTAACTCCTCCTACTAAAATCCCTGCTATATAC